GGCTGATTTTATACCAACAAAGGGTTGGTAGAGTCCCTTCTATTTCCTCGTGAAGAAACAGGATAAGCAAGTAAAATGGTTGAGTGGGCCTAGAATCAATGAAATTTTTCAGAAACAGAGGCAGAGAACTCAGCCACATGCAAAAGAATGAAACTGAACTGAACTACTACCTTAGACCACACAGAGAAATAAACTCAAAATGAAAAGGCAATCTACTGAAAGAGAAAATATATTTGTAAATCATATTTGATAAGGGACTAATATCCAAAATATATAACAAACAAAAACTCAGTACAAGAAAACAAACAATCCAATTTAAAAAAAAAAATATTAAAAAGAGGCAGAAGCAGCGCAAGACAAAGAAATAAAAGGCATCCAAATTAGAAAACTGTCACTATTTGTAGATAGCATGATTTTACATATAGAAACCCTAAAATCAAACAAAAGAACTATTAGATCTAATAAACAAATTCAATAAAGTTGTAAGGTATAAAATCAATATACAAAAATCACTTGTATTTCTATACACTAACAGTGAACTAACATGAAGAGAAACTTAAAAAAAAACTCATTAAAATTGCATCAAAAAGACTAAAATACTTAGGAATAAATTTAAACAAGGAGGCAAAAAACCTGTACACTTAAAATTATAAGACATTGTTGAAAGAAATTAAAGACACAAAGAACCAAGATTTCATAGAATGAAAGAATATTGTTAAAATGTCCATATTACCTAAAGTAATAGAGATTCAGTATAATCCCTATCAAAAGTCCAACATATTTTTAAAGAAATATAACAAACAATCTTAAAATTTAAAAGACCTGAATATCCAAAGCAATCTTGAAAAAGAAAAACAAATCCAGAGGCTTCATGCTCCCTGACTTAAAACCACATTATAAAGCAAAAGTAATCAAAACAGTTTGGTATTGGCATAAAAACAGACACACAGATCAGTAGAACAGAGGGAAAGAATTCAGAAACAAGTCCACATATGTGTGTGTATGTATATATGTGCACGTGTGTGTGTGTATGTGTGTATATATAGTCAGTGCATACAAGGGGTAAAGAGCAACTCTTCAACAAATGGTGTAGGGAAAACTGAAGTCACATGCAGAAGAACGAAACCAGATCACTATCTTATAGCAGAAGTGAAAAATAACTAAAAATAGACCAAATAATTGAATGTAATACCTGAAACCATAAAACTCCTAGAAGAAAACATAAGAGGTAAACTGCCTAACACCCACCTTAGAGAGATTTTTTTTTTAGATCTGACTCCAAAAGTAACAGCAGAAAAAGCAAAAATAAATGAGACTACAAACTAAAAAACTGTGCACAGCAAAGAAAATAATCAACAAAAAGGATAACTTACTGATTGGGAGAAGATATCTGCAAATGAAATATCCAATAAGGGGTTAATATCCAAAAATAAATAAAGATTTCATTCAACTCAGTGATGAAAAAAATCTAATTAAAAAATGGACAGAGGTTCTGAATACACATTTTTCCAAAGAAGACATACAGATGGCCAACAGGTACCTGAAAAGATGCTCAATATCAAATGATCATCAGGAAAATGCAAATCAAAACCATAATGAGATACCACCTCACACATTTTAACATAGCTACCCCAAGACAGGAAGCAAATGTTGAAAAGGATATGGAGATAAAGAAACCCTTCTGTACTTTTAGTAGTGTTGTAAATTGGAGCAACCACTATGGAAGTTGCTCAAAAAAAAAAAAAAAAAAAAACTAAAACTAGAACTACCATATGTGCTAGAAATTTCTCTTCTGGGTATTTATCTGAAGAAAATAAAAACACTAACTCAAAACCATACACACTCCCTTGCTCATTGCAGCATTACTTATTGTAGCCAAGATTTGGAAAAAGCCTTAGTGCCCACCAATAGATGAATGGATAAATATGGCATATATACAATGAAATATTATTGCCATAAAAAATAATGAAATCTTGTCATTTGCGACAACATGGATGGGCCTCAAGGGCATTATGCTATGTGTGAAATAAAGTCAGACAATGAAAGACAAATGCCATAATCTCACTTATATGGAATTTTAAACAAAACTAAAAAAAAAAAAAAAAGCACCTTATACAAATATTAGATTGGACATTGCCAGTGGTAGGGAAAGGGGCTGGGAGAATTAGGCAAAGGGTATGAAAACATACAAATTATAATGTACAACAGAATGACTTGTTAAACTGTATTACACATTTGAGGTTGCTAATAAAGTAGATCTTAAAAATGGTCATCACTAGAAAAAAAAGTTACAATGCATGGTGCTAAATGTTAACTAGACTTATTGTGATGATCATTTCACAATATATACAAATATTTAATCATGATGCTGTAACCCAAAACAAATAATGTTATTATTTTTACCTTGGTAAGAAAAAAAAATGATTTGGAGATATTAAAATATCAAAAGGTCTGAACATTTAACTAAACAGGATCATGATCTTTTTATTTAACTAAAAAGACAAGAGAAGATATTTAAAGATTAAAGTAGAAGGTTATATAGTTACAAACAAAACTTAATATTGAGAAGACTGGGCTTTCTTTTATGAACACTGACCTAATAAAGACAATGTGAACGACAGTAAATTATTCTAGTAATACACAAAATTTTTGCTTTCCAGGTAGATAACACAAAAGATAAAAAAATGAAAGAAAATTTTCAAGTCACTTAGCAACAGCAGATCAAGGAAAATCCAAAAGAAATTCTTTCAAGAGAAAAAAAATCAAATTTGTATATTTTTATATTAATTTTTTAACTTTAATAAATCCATTCTAATCCTAGCCAGCTTGGCCATACATAACATTTCCTGCCCACAATTCCTTCTCCACAAAATACCTACAACCTTTCTTACATTCATTCAAACTTGTTCCTACGTTTTTTTCTCTTCTTGCTCATTCTGGAATGATTTATTTTAGGAAAAATTACTCACATTTTCCCTTAACAAAAGCATATATCCGTATCCTGTAACTTTTTTTTTAAATCAAAAACACATCCTTCTTTCCTTGCATAGATATGTTTCTCTTATTATTTCTAACAGTTTCAACTACACATTAATTTTAACTCCTCTAACCCTTAGAATCCTTAATTCCTAGTGAAAATTAAGAAGTAAGCAATGTGGACTGTCACACTAACATTCTGTGCACTGACAAATTTATAAATATATTCAATAACTTCTTGAAATATAGTCTTCCTAATAGCAAATTTTTCAAGGTGGCATAAAATACGTTTACTAATAAGGCCCAAATAGCTTTAATAACTCTGTGAAAGGAAGCTAAAACATACGATAAACCTATATTCAATAATTAATGTTGCAGTGTTTTATTTGGAAATGACTTAAATATTCAGTGAAATCCATCAATTAATTTATTTCAGCATAGCTTAAAGGTTTTAAGTTTCCCAAAGATTTTATAAACTATTTTTAAGTTGACACCCCAAAAGCCATAATTATTGTTGTGAAGTTTATTTTTAAACTTTTTTCTTACATTTATTTCACTTGTTCTTAAATGTTTAGATTGCTCATGAAAGTTTCATGAAACATTAAATAGCTAATCATCATCTTCAGCTATCTTTCTTGCTGACAATTTCTATAACAGAGATAACATGAGCTTATTGACTTTAAGTAAACCTAGGTATAAACCTAGAATAAAAGTACTATATTTAATGCTGATAACTTTAAAGCTATGCCTGTTTTAATTAAACCAATAAACTTTCATTTTACCAAAGCTTATCCTCAATCACTTGAATTTGAAAAACATTTAGGTTAGTTTCTATATTTCTGTTATTATACTTGGTTTACACACACTTAATTTTCTTTACGCCAATAAAACTTTTACAATTAATTTTGGCAAGACCATCCAGGGACAGGAAAAAAAAATCACTCATTTATTACATATTTACAGACACATACAAAAACAACTGCAAACAGATCTTATACCTTTGTTTTAAATCTTTAGCCATGAGATAGATATAATGCAAAACTCACAGTTGGATCCAAATTGTTTTCCTGGCAGATGGAATAATGAAGTTCACCTGCTTAGATGGCTTAAACTTATTAAGATTTATCAAGAAAACTTTTTTCCATTCACCAAGTTTTCAAATAACCTTTCTTTTACTCTTCTGATAAGAATGACTTGGGTTCCTAGGGACCTGTTATCACATTCATATCTCAAAAACACAAAAAAAGAATGCAAGTTCCTCCAAGGAGGAATCTTGATTCCTAAGGCCAGAATTTTCACAATACCTTATAAGCCTGTTGAGATGACTAGGGAAGGTTTGGGTAATGGCAAAAAGGATAGATGGGCTTTTTCCGTTCTTGTAAAGACTCAACTTGGATCTCTCAGAGTAAAATTAATATCTAAAAGGGATGTGTTATGGGGTTGGAGATTATGTGTATTTTACCTTGTTACTCAGAAATTTTCCTGAGGCTGGTGGGTGACCTAGTGTCAATATAACCCATTTGGAGACCAACTTATCCTAACACGAGAATCTTCGAGTTGGGCAGTGAGTGTTCTAACAGCTTTGAAGTGCTCAACCCAGACCCACCATTTTGTCTTTGGTTTCCCACATTCCCATTAGCAACAGATCTATTACTCTAGATTTCTTTGCAGTGGTGGATGTCCTGATAGCTTTTAATAGCGTGACTCATGTCTGCTTAGATTTTGGTGGTCAAAACAGTCTGAATGTCTCACTGTGATTTATTTTTCCTAAGTCTACAGTGGTTTAAACAATAGACTCACCTTTAGACTTTGTGAATTCCCCAGTAGCTGCTACCCATTGTGAATTTCAAAAATGACATGTCAGAAAGGCTCAGAACCTTTTGGGGATTTTTAATGGCCCTTAGAAACTTTGAAGGGCCCAGAAACTTTCTGGAAATTTAACTCACGCGTGCACACACACACTTCTTTTTAATAACGTTTGTTTGGATCAGAGAGCTGCACATAGGAAATGGAGAGTGACTTACCCATGAATGAAGAGCGATTTCAAAGAATTCTGGGCGCACCTCTTCTATGTAATCCTGCAGTTTCCACCTCTTCTATGTAATCCTGCAGTTTCTCACACCATCAGCAGTAGGCTTTGGATTCCATTTCTTGAGATCAAAACTGCCAAAAAATTATTTTAAAACACAATTTAAGTGAAACAAAATTTAACGCTTTATGGATCGTCTCCTTTTGGAGAAATGCAAAATGGGGCAGAAGACAAGAAGTTTTTATAGGATAAAGAACAAAGGAAACATATAGAAAATATGATTAGCCAAAGCCACATCTCCTAGTTCTGGGCTGAGAAGGCCAGGAACTGACTTGTCTATAGGGCATTTACTACTTTTCTGGCCAGGGAAAGCACTTACACAGGAACAAGGAAATTATCCAACTTTCCTTTTGCTAACCTGGAATTCCAGCAAGTAGCCGCTCCATCTTGGGCCTAGATATGCATTTCAACAGACCCCAGCCCTATTCTTAGCCCTGCCTCCCACACTGGCTTACCTTGCCTATTTCTTTCTAAAACAGTAAAGTTAAGGCAGCAGCTGGCAGTGCCCCAAATATGTCTACTGCATCAACAGTGTCTGGGGGAAACAGACCCAGGGACTCCCCTAGCTCCAGCTTCCTATCACCCTCCAACTCCTTTCCAGTCACCACCCACCTTCTTGGTCCTCCTCCATGTCCTGGACCTGCCAACACCGATTTTTAGGGTTAGCTCCTTGTTGTCGATCAACCATGAGCTCCCAGGGTAGTCAGAGTGACCCCATCCTGGGCCACCATCCACCACCTGGTCGGGAGGTAGCTGTGAGCCTCCTACGCCTACTCCCTGGGGTCCAGTGTCCACCAGGACCACTGCAGCTCCGGAGCCTGGGGCTGCATTAGTCTGAGCCGGTGGTGGGGGCGAAGTGTGAGAGGCTGAGGAGCACACCCTCCTGTGAATACCCTCATTGTGACTTCCCAAGGCCACCCCAGGGCAAGTGCCCCAAGGCAAGTGGGGGTGGAGCTCTGGAAATTGCGGAAGCCACAGGCTCCAGAACTTCGGGCCTGTGACCCAGGTTTCTGCCTGCTCAGCCCACTTCCCCGGGACTTCCAGGAGAGCCGCTTCCTAAAAGCGGAGGTGAAACTCGTCAGGAAATGATTAACCTCCACCAGCTGCCGACCCTGGGCTGGGTGGAGCTAGGCTGGAATCTTGTAGGTAGGCTCACCCTCAAGTTTGTACAGTTAGGAGCCTCCAGATCCCAGCGGGCCCTGGTGTCACAGCTCTGCCTCCCTCTGCTGCCAGGGCTTCACCCTTAGCCTTTCCCTGCAGCCGCTAAGCAGATCTACAACCACTCTGGAGCCCCCTCCCAAATCAGAGACAAAATGGAAACAAAGTTTTTACGGGGCGGTGGGGGTGCTGGGGAGATAAGAATAAGATTCTCTGCAGTCGGCCTGCTTCATAGGTTAACTTCATCCAAAGAGCCCCACATAGGGTAATTATAAATATTGTTATCCCACTTGGGATTCTTTGAGGTTAGGATTAAATCTCAATGCCATTATGTTAGTGGTTTGATGGGTGTTGGGTGGGAATGAGCACAGGGACGCATTTTTTGGACAGTAGAAAGAGCTCAGCCAGCATCTCTTTCTCTTCCAAATTAAAGTGCAAATCATGTTTCATTCCTTCTCTCTCTTTCTCTGCCAAGTCTCCCTGAAGTTTCCGGAGAATAAGCCCACCCAGCTTGATTGTTCAAATGAGAAAGGAGCTGCTATTCTTAGCCAGGAGATTCACTTGTGTTGCTCTAACAACCTGCCTTCTATCCTTTCCCCTGAGAGCAAATCTTTTTCTCTAATGCAGAGATTCTCAGCCCAGTTTGCATGTTAGAATCACCTGGGGGTACTCTTTAAAAAAAAAAAAAAACCAACACCTGGGCCCCACCTCTAGCGATTCTGACTTAATTGCTGGGGAGAGTGGTTCTAATATTCAGTCAGGTTGAGAACAACTGCTCTTGTGAGTGAAACACATTCATCATCCATTTTCCTGTCCTCATATAAACAGTAGGTTTTCCCCCAACTCAGATTGGGTGAGGGTTCATTTCTGCTCATGACTTGCATATTTTTGGATGCAAGTGGCGTTTATTAGACTTGGAGATGGATTTTTAATGAATTCGAAATTAAGATCTTTACCTTTCAGAGAAATGTCAGGATATTACATGAACCAAGTCATCCCTCCTTAGACAAAAATAGGGCAAAAATACTTGTAAATATCAAGTAAAATCTAAGATTCTGTGAGATTCCCAGCCCAATGCAACACTAAGACAAATGTTAGGATCATATAGTCTAACAATTCTCAACCACAGGATCTATGAGAATCATCTGTGCCCTACTCCATGCCCTATGTTAGAACCATCCACTAACATCTCCCTCCTACCCCAGAAATTATGAATCAGTAAGTATGAAATAGGGACCAGAAATCTGAAGCTAAAACAAATACCCCAGAATATCTGATGCATAGCCAATTTTTTTTTCAGTTTTTTTTTTATTTATTTATACAAGAACCAGGGTACAGGCCAGATGTGCAGGAGTGTGAGAGGATTCATCAGAGACAGAGCGGGGAACAGAACAGGCAGGCTGACTGAAATACACCGCTGAGGGGAGCAGAGGGCGCGACAGGAGAGGTCTGCCACACCACGTGGTTATCTCTAGGACGGACAGGGGTGGAACCGGCCCTGCAGAGGCTGCAGACAGCTTCACAGCGCAGCACTCAACTGCCTGAGCCACCAGGGAAGCCCCACAGCAAATTTGACCCTTTCTCTCTTGCATGAATATATGTGACGGCCTCAGTTTCTACAGTAGTGTTCTTCAACCACCCTCTTTTAAAATGGTGCCTGAACTTTGAACTGTGTGGATGCCCTTTCCTTAACAATTAATCCAATACTGTTATCTAGCATATATTCCTTTTTATAGTTAGAATTTATGTTGAAGATTCTTGAGAAAAGTTTAGAGGTAGGGTTGGAACTGAATTAGCATCACAGAAGTTCCTTTGGCAATAACACCAGACAGGTACACTGCAGTGAAAATACACTTGAATCAGGAGTAAAGTGGAAGAGGAAAGATTTGAATAAGGACTTGGCAGTCTCCCACTCAATGGCTAGGAAAGGGTCTCATTAATGAGTGCTGGTGGGAGCTGAGCTGTTCTCTCCAATCCTGCAAGAATTCCTAGATGCAAAGGGACTGAAAAGGGGGGTGGGGAGAGGGCCCCGAATACAATAAACCAGGGGAAGCTAAAGTAGAAAAGCAAGTAGGAGGGATGGAAAATAATCCTGTAAAAAAAAAAAAAAAAAAAAAAAAACAGAATCAAAATGTCTCCACATAGACTTTGATATTGGGAGAGGGGGGAAAAAATCAAAGTAAGAGAAATTAGGATAAGCCAAGTGCCCCAACCCCCAGCTCTCTGACTACAAGTCTCCAGAAAGGCTAAGGATCACTCCCAAATCCGAACATGCAAAACCCTGATGGATTCAAAGTCATTTTTCCTCAGAATAGTATTTATCATAGATGTGGAATGGCATTCCTCCATCTTTGTCAGAATCTTCTGCACCAACTCAGTGTCCCCCAGTTGTTTAGGACTGCAAAAGTCATGAAGGTCAGGAAAGTGGAAGGGAGGCAGCCTATAGGTAGAGTTACAGAAATGTGCATTGAGGTAGGGATCCATCCAAGAAGACAGTATTTTTGGCATTTGTCAAATATTTTTGATTTTCTCCTTTTAAAATGTCAGTGAGCACTCGTTAGTTATCGTGCATTTACACACACATCTCAATTCATCCTCAACACCATCCTAAGAAGCAGGATTATCACTTACATTTAACAGATAAGGAAACTGACCTTAAGGAAGTGGCATGACTAATCCAAGGAGGTAAAGTCAAGATCAAACCAGATTCCTTCTTCACCTCGAATACTGTTCTTCCTGCCATATCCCAACTGCCTTTGGGTTTAAGCAAATTAAAAATAAAGGGGAAACACCTTAGGAGAGCAATAAATATTTATTTAGTGAAATCCAAAATAACCAAAGAGCAAGATTTTCACTTCTTTGTAAAGTATTGAAGAAGTGCTTTCCAACTACATTCTGTGACTCATTCTGGGTAATGAAATCAACTTCAGTGAATCACAATCAGCATATTTTATTTTTAGTTGTATCATTTTTATTGAGCAAACACTGTCTATGATTTAGCAGTATAGGTTCACACTTCTTTAGATATGTTACCAGACCATACCCACCACCAAAGCACCCAAAATCTTCCACTGTAGTCCATGGTGACTCCCTCTCTTGTTTTTTCCTCATTCCTTCCTTCCCCTTCTGTTAACCAACATTTTTTTAATTAAAAAAAAATAGGCTACAAGAAAAGAATAGAAAAGGATAGCATAAGACAAAGCAGTATAGACATCAAAGTATATGTTACAATGTTTCATGGATATAAGGAATGTTGTTTCAGGAAAATTTTGTTTATGGTGTGCATTTTGTGCATATGCAAACATGCACAAACTAAGTTGGAATTTAAAATGCATCTCTTTCCTTTTTAAGTTTTGAGAAACCATAGCTTAGAGTATTCTTGCAAGTGTGCTCAGGAAGACATGCACAGAGATGTTCACTGCAGTATTATTTGTAATCAGGAAACTAGAAATATCTTAAACATTCATCAATAGGAGACTAAATTAATTAAGGTAAATATGCATACCACAAGGAAAAATCATCTAAACTTATATATGTTGACATGGAAAAATCCCAAAAACAAAATATAGCAGAGATAAAAGCGAGCAGTAGGAGAACGTCCATGACATGCTAATATTTATACACAGTTTGAAAATAAGCAAAACAATACTTTGAATTTTTACAAATGCACACATTCAGACTGTAAACCAATAGAAGGAATGATAGATATCAACATTAGGAGGGTAATTAAATCTTAGGACTAAGGTGAGGTTAGTTATTGGGGTAAGGGAGGACAGCATGAGAAGCTTCAACTAAATCCATGTTTTAACAAAAATAATGGAAATAAATATAGCAGAAATGTTAAGGTTTGATAAGACTGGGAGGTTATGTGGGCTTCATAATTTACTCCTTATACTTGCTTCATATTTGAAAAAAAAAGGCCCAAAATTATAAAGTTTACAAAGCCTGTGATTTTAGCTAACCACACGGTCTGGTATTAGTTTCCACCCTCCCCAAGCCTCGCAGTTGACTTATCAATATTCCAAATATTGACTGTCTAATCCTAAGCATGCAGAGGTGTTCAACTTTTCCACAGTCACATGAGGGAAAAGAAAATTCCCTATTTTGAGTCGTGAACCTCACCAATTATTTTTCACTGCAGCAGAAGCAGAGTTAGAACTCAGCTCTCTGTGTAAAAAAGAAGGCCACCACATTAACCCTGACTGCAATACAGGTTCCACCGTGCTTCTGATGAGCAGAAGATAAATGTATCACTTTACTCCACCTAATGAACGTTTCAATCTTCTAATAAACACCCTAATAAAGAAAAATTGAGACTTAACTCACTTTTATTATCCCAACTGACATGTCGCAAGGTCTTAATTGGGCTGAAAACAGTTTCCAATAATAATACCCTCCTTAATTGATTCATTAAGGGGCCCCTACTGAGACAGAAGTGCCAGTTCCAGGAAAAGGAATGAAATAGAACCTCGATTTCCCACTGAGTGGCTATGATCCCTTCACCATCAACTCCCCAGGCCACTGAAGAGGATGTTAAGAGTGTCCAGCGCCTGGAATCATTCTTCTAGTCCCAAAGTGGGCGCAGAACTGAAACGTGATCTCCACACATTCACCACTTCTTTAGTGGGGTTAACAAGAGATAGAGAGAATCTCAAGGAATTCTCTCTTAGTAGGAGAGGATTCTGAAAATAAACAACCAGAACAACAAGAAATTAGAGCTTTTTACAAGACTGAACAAAAATTGCAGCATTCCAACATGA